TTGTGGGAACTGAAGGAGACAATGAATACTAGGGTTGAAAACTCAAACAGGAGCTGGGCAAGTAACTCAAAGGAGTAAAGTGGGCTGGGTGTAAGACACACAGCAAGTGAGAGTCTCTGATTCTGAGGGAGCGGTGCAGCCTGTAAAAATCTCAAGACTTTCTGTTCCTCTAAAGGGGCAGCTGTTTTATTGGGCTCCAGCCAGTTTTTGAAATGGAAAAAGTGAAGGCCTGGTATTGCCAGATTTTTCCGGGAAGCTGGAAGTCCGGACTTTTCTGTGAAACCTCCCAACTTTTAGTTGCTGGCAATCAATTCAAATTTAGAGCGCTGGGAAAGCCAAACAAAACACATCTGCAGGCCCCAAAAGCCCAGGGAGCCTCCAAGTTGTGACCTCTGATAGGCATGAACGTGTCTGTAACAGAACCTGCCTCATTACGGATATTCCATAAATATTTGCCTCCTCTTTTCCTTGCGACATCCCGCATGAGAAAACAAAACAAAACAATTCATTTGGTCTTTCTAGAAAGGTATTAGGATGCCCATTCTTAAGGCTCAAATTTATTATTTAAGTCATAAAGTGACATGTTTACTGAAATCTTACTGACCAGTAAAACACTTAACCAGGGTATATAGCTTGTGCTTTGGAAAATTTAATTGGGTCCCCTGACTTTGTGACGGAAGTTTAATTTTTGTTAGAAAACACACACTTAAGAGACAGCCGAGACACTGCTAAATCACAGCAAGGAAAATTCACCCTTTCAGATGCTGAGTTCCTTTGGAATCTAGTAAATGAGCCGTTCCCATCTGGACATTTCTTCGTCTTCGGAGGAGCAGGACCTGGTTTTAACTGGTACATCTTCGTGTGTCGCTCACTCCTTAAGTAGTTTAACTTACTTTTTAACTGTTACATGCCAACAAAACAGGTTGCTTAATTGGTTTGACCTTTCACAGTATTTTTTAATTTTTCAATCTTAGTTTCATAGTTCCATCTGGCCCTTTAAAACGACATCTGGTTAACTGTACTTAACCAGCTGATCACTGTACAGTTATTTTTAAATGTAATGTATGCTTAAACAGATGTTATTTTTATAGATGTGGATCTAAACTGCACTTGTGTACGTGCTATGTCTGCATAAACTCTTTCTGCAATTCAAATGTTGACACCCAAAATTACAAGCCAGAATGCTTATGAACTCCACTATTATGGTACTGCACTTTTGTGCTGCTTGTTAGGTAAACATCAATTCAGTTCTTTTTTTCTCTCTTCATTGCACATAAATAAAACATTAGCATTTAGTTTATAAAGTGATGAACATTTTGCTGTGTTGGATTTAGCTTTATAAATACAACTGCTGTCAGCAAGAAAAAAGGATTTATTAAATAAATAATAAGAAAGCTAAGGGAAAATGAAAATATATATATTATGCAAAACATGGTGTCTGTCAACAGGTCACAAAGGAGCCTCAGTGCTTTTGGTGTTGCTGTCGGAGATAATTCCATCGGTGGTGCACTGCATCTGAAGTATTCTGGACCTTTCTCTCACGGTATGGGTCTTAGATTTAATCCAGAAAGCACACTAGAGGAAATAAATTTATTTTGTAGAACTCTGAAGGCTTGACTGTCCAGGGTGCAATTAACACTTAGAACAATTTAAATGTCTTCTTACTGAAGCAGGGAAGATGCTCAGAAATCTTGTTTAAAAAAATCTGCCCATTCAATTCTACAGTTCTATTTTTGTGTTTTTTCTACCACAAAAGAAAAAAAATGATGATGGCAGTAATTTGTGCATAGATGGAAAGGTTTTCCAATCATGAAAGCACCCTAACATGCAGGATACCTGGCTTCAGGGGGAACGCAAGCTCACCAGGCTGAGAGAGCTCGGAAGACCGTTAGTGTGGGGAGCTTGCATGCGACACAAGGCTGAGTCTTACTTGAGACAAAGAAAGTGGTCGCTGTTGGAAATAATTCTACCGAGAACTTGAAAAGTTTCATTCTCAAGGTTAAAAATTGCTGTTATACATAATACCCCAGTAATTGATAGACGTTTTCTCTCTCCAGAGTCCATTTTCTCTGAAAAACACCGCATAACATCTGTTCATAAACAGTCCTTCTGTGAAAACACTGACACAGGTCTTGAGCTTCCACGGGCTCAATTCCCCCGCCACGTGCAGATGGCACGATGTATTTATACAGCTGAAGCCTGGGTAACAGAAGCCTGGCCGGATCTCCAGGTAAGACTTCAGGCAAACACGTGCGGCTCTTCTATGGCCTCACCCCAAGTTGTTCAAGGGGCTCCTTCTGACACAAAGACAAATTGTTTCCCCCTGATGTGTGAGATTCGTCGGAAAAATGATCTTCGGCAATCAACGTCTAACTCTACAGAGAAAAGGGCATTTCCAGTCTTTTAAAAAAGATTCCACAGAACACATTAATGAAAAACTAATTAGGTTACAGAGGTATTTGGGAAACTAAATAGGGCTCTGATTATTCCGTTGCCTTTTTTTTTTCCTTTTCCTTTTTTTTTTTTTTGGCCTCTATGCTTGATGTGTGATGTTTAACTGGAATTAATTATTACAACTAAAAGCAAAAAGTTCGGGGTCAAGGGTATAAATAATTCATGTTCAGCTTTTCAATAATGACCACAAGGGGGGAAGATGTCATTCCAATGAAAGGAATTATTTCCTGTGTAACTTCCTTTAGCTTCTCCTGCTACACATGAAGTAGAGATGGGTACAAAGATAGAGCTTTTTCACTGAATGTTGACTGAGAAACATTTGAGAGACTTGCAAACCTAAGTGAACTTCCATTGCTTTTCAGTGGTTTCCCTACTGATTACTGCAATGTTGGTCCTTTGGCATCGAAAATTGTCCTTTCTTGGAGACCAGACAAATTCCAAGGACAGGCAGAGCCCACTTCTCAGGACCTGGAGAAACAATGATTCTAAGTAAAAGCAGGATGCCAGAGCTTTCAAAGGGTTGAGGGGCCTCAAAGATCACCCAAATAAACAGAACAAGGAGGCTGCACACACGCATAACCTGGGTTTATTTGTACCTGTCTTCGTGACACAGCTGCACTGCACGTGAGAGTCAGGATCAGAAAAACATATCTACGGTACCTTAATATAGTATAAACTGTTCATATGTTATTCTCCATGAACATCACAGGCAAATTTTTGTTATATTTGACCAGCTGGGATCAAAAATGTTTTGCAGGGTTCGAAGGATTTTTGCCCTAGCTACACTCTTTAAGTTACCCACAAGCTTTCTGGTTTGTACATTTCAAAGAAGTCTTCACAGCATTTATGAACCCACTACTTTACTCGGTAATCTTCAGAGTGGCTTAGTCCAGGCTACAGACTCAACTCTGGTCAAGATTTGCAAGAGAAAAAAAAAATTAGCCATTTGAGAATATGACGCTGAGGTGTCGTGTCTCGCTAGAGGAAGGCAGATGAACTCAAGAACATCTGGAAAATTCTTTTAGGGGGGCAATTGTAGGAGTCTGTTTCTATATGACGGGAAAAACTCAAGAGACATTTCCTGTTCACCCTTCTCTGGTTATTCCTCAAAATAAACCTCAGTGAAAAGAGAAGCAATCACTGAGACGAAAATCAAGTTTTACCTCCACATCATCCACCAAGACTGCTTTTCACTCAGTACTGAGCTGCATGATTATTCCAGTGAAATTATACAGTTAGGAGAAGTAGAAGAGATCAAACACAAACCACGTTTTACACTGAAGAAAACATGCGTTACATTAGGCTAAATTTTTCTGGGCTTAGTTATTAAGTTCTTTTACTGATACTTCATTTTTTTCCCCAGGAAAATTGGAAGTTGTGGGAATGTACCTTCACTTCTACCTGATGTATGCACACATAATAATAGAAGCTTAAATTTTTTGGAAATATTTTTATCATATTCTATGTTCCCATAGTATAATAGGATCATTATGGCGTTATTTATAATAGAGGAAAAAAATGGAAAGAACCCTAAGATCAAATAATAGAGGCCTGATTAAGTAACTATTGACATGGGAAAATTATGTCATACATTAAGTGGAAAACAGAAAAGTAACAAATTGCATATACACTCTGGAATCTCAACTAGGAATATGACAGACAGGTATGAGAAAGAAAATCTGGAAAAATATGCCAATGTTTTAAAAATTACTGTTTCTGGGGGGTAGGTTTATGGATTAATTTTCATCTTTTTATACAGGTATTTCCTAAATGTTTTACACTGGACATGTATTACTTTAATAATCAGAAAAATGCAATGAAAAGCTTAATAAAAACATTTTCTCCTAAGAAAAACATTTGTTATCATAACAATTGTTTTGGCATCTTTGGGCAAGAATATAAGTAGATATGGATTACACTGAGTAATAGAAAGAAATTTATGAAATTCAGGAAGAGATGATTTACGGAAGTCTTCTTCCCAGTAAGGTACCTTCGGATACAATCATAATTTGCTGCCTGGATACTGAAATGATGCCCTAGGTCGTGACCTCCCTGACTTTACTAACCTCTCCCTCCTTCACTTCCTTTCCTTCCTTCCTTAATAAATACTTACTGATTAATAACTCTGTGCCTGGTACTCAGGATGTGGGTTGATACCTAGGAATTTGTAGCCGAGGAAGTAAGATGGTCAGTGAACAAGCAACAGACTATACAATGAATACATGAATAACAGCATCACAACTGCGAGAGGCAGGTGCACCTGGGGAAAGCAGGGGTGAGCAGCCCTGCCATTTGCAGAGTAGGAGGGAAGTCCTTATATATGGTAGTAACATTTGTGCCGAAAACTAAAACACAAGAAAGAACTAACTGGTTGTACCCAGTGTGGGAGGATGCTAGCAGGAGTGTGCTGGTCGCATACTGAGTAGTTGGCATCCTTGTCTTAAACCATCTCAGCATTCTTGTCTTAAACCCTCTCAAATATTTATTGATAGGCTTGATTTGGAAGATAAGCCATGGAAGTCTTCAACTCAGTAGGACCAAGGCAGAATGAATCAAAATCCTACCAGTCTGTGGATAACCTTAATTCCACCTCTAAAAAGGCCTGCCTTCCATTAGGTCTATCTTACAACCAAAGATGCAATGACTCACTGCTCCTAGCTATGGAAGGCTTTCCTGGTAGACACATGGAGACTTTGGATAGTTTAAAATGCAATCTCCATTTAAGTGGAGTGAAAGGTTTTCTCTATACTGAGCCTTGATGTAAAGTCAGTGGTAAATATGAATATCAGACTGTGCAAAATTATTACCGAATTTCTGGAATGTTCTAATCAAGTTTCTAACCATTATAACGTAAGTGCCAAAGAACCAGTTAGTACTGTCAGCACATGTGGCTAGCTGCTTATAATTCTTAATATTTTTCCTCAATAAAAATTATTGGCTTAATATCAAAATCACCAAAAGGACTAGACACAGGTTGGCCCAAACCATTCATTCTTTCTGAATTTGTAGCAACTGCTTTCCACAAAGAAGATGCCCACTCAGCTGGAAGAAAGCTGGAAGAACGAAAGAATTTTTGCTCTGACAGATGCCAAGAGTGGCTCTGACTGACTTCCTCACTGGGTTGATCAAATCAAGCATTTGCCTCCTTAAAAATATAAAGAGTTTTATGTCCCTCAGCTTGTTGAGGGCAATGATTTATCTACTATTAATGAGGGAACATCATACCCTCAAATAAGATCAAATTCAAGAACTAAGGAAAAATGTACTTCCTGATCATGAGAGAGAACACATTTTTCATAGAAGAATATCTGGTTAGAGAAGGGAGGTGATGATAAACGTGGGAAACGATTAACCTTCCAGCTCCAATGAAAACAGGACGTTGATCACGAAACTAAAATTTCTAGTGCCTAGTACTTAAAAATCTATCACAAATAACTATTGCCTTCCAGACATGTATAATTGATCATGCCTGTATCAACAGTAAGTTCCTTTTCAGTTTTTTCTTCTGTTAACTTTTTTTCTTCACAGGGTATTATTTTCCTTAAATGGCATTTCCACTGACAACCACACCGAATGCACTGTATAATTATCATGTCTTCAGTTTCTTTTTCTACAGTTCTTTTTAATTACAAAATAATACCCTTTTGAAGCACGCATCTCTGATATCTTAACCATCGTTGGGTCAATACAGCAGCGTGCTCATTATCAATATATTTTAATTATTTCATTCTCTCTAATGCCTCGTTTTTGTTTTCCATGAACTGCCAGGTAATTATGTTTGTATCGGGATAAATAATTAACGTTCTCTGAAGCAGAACGGCTATTATTTTCCTTTCTCTCTCTCTCTCTTTTTTTTTTCTTCAGCCATGGCAATGGAAGAAATAGGCATTTACCTGGATTGACTAAATGTGGTCTTTTCTGTGGGCAAAAGTAACTTATTGGTGATTCAAGAACTGGTTCTGGTGAAGCTCTCCTAACTTCTCTAAACAGAGCAAAGCTGCCTTCATTACACCATGAAATTCTCTTATGTCCTACTTCTTGCATTAAGTCATCCTCTCAAAACAGGATGCAGGGTGTCACAGATGTACGTGCAAAGGCTATTTATATGCATAAAATTAATATACAGTCATATTCAAAATAATACGCCTTTAAAATAAACTCTAAAAATGTAAGGCAACAAAAACACAAGCATTTTCAAAAATACTTACTGAGAAGAACTTGTGTGTGAGTGACAAGGTCAAAGACAAAGTAAAATGAAGGTGATGTTCAGTAGGTGAGGCTTGAGAGAAAGACCACGAGGCAGATGAATGGAGCAAAAGCCAAGTTGTGGCACTGATCATAGTTAATGCCATTTCCTCATTGAGTGAAAATTGCTTCTCAGTAACTTGGAGTATCCATTCCTCGAAGGTGCTATTCCAGAAGGAAGGAAAAGGTAGTCTAGTACTTTCTGTGTGACCTTGTGCAAGTTACTTAACCTCTCTTGCTGGCAGCTTTCTCACCTGTGAAGTAAGGCTAATAAGAGTGTCTGAGCACACTTTTAGAATGCCAGTTTTGTAATGCGGGTTGTTATCTAAAGACACCTTTCAAATTCCTACAGTCTTTCAATCTAAACATCCCAACAGCTTCAAATCAGATGCTTTCAAAGATCCTCACCATTTTGGTCACTCTCCTTTTGTCTGTGCTCAAGTTGAAGTTCTCCGATCAACTATGGATGCTCCAAAGAGTCTGAACTCACATACCAAGAGAAGGTAACAATCCTCTCCGCTTTCATCCAACCACAAAATTTAAATACTCAAATATTGAGCTTTCTGGTTTTCTCTGTTTTTCTTCTTCCCTTTGTATTATTAAGTCTGACAAACGTGTTGTTGATTCTTTTCAACATCCCCACATCTGCCAATTACTGGGTTGAGCGCCAGTGGCACAATGTGGGAGCACCTGTTCTAATCCCTACCTTTATGACAGTGTTAAACTAGAGAGAGCCAAGGGTTCACATTTAATTTTGATAAGTCAATATTCTCATATAGAAGGTGCAGTGATACGGTAAGTCAAATCCCTCACTAGGAATGAAAACATTCAGAAGAACCAGATTTTCCCTTTAAATAGTAAGTGAGATGCAAGAGGAGAACTGTTGATGGACTTTAAAGACCATGATCTGGGAGAGGGGGACAGCTTACTTCAGGCATCTCTAAACTGCTAATCTTGGATTGGTTGGTCAAAGTTACCATTATCACAAATACTGTAGAAAAAGACACTTCAATAAAAAAATTGAATTTTATGACTCCTACGGAACGATTCTGCCCCAGACTTATGTGCTAAGTAAATATGGTCATCCCCAAATGATATGACAAACAATACTAACGCATTTTATACTCTGAACCCTAGAACTGGATTAAGCATTGAACACTTTCTAATCCTCATACGTCTTTCACTAAATTCATGCTTATGTATTTTCAGAATCTTACCTGTCCTAAAACCACATTCATTCTTTTATAACTCATACAAAAAAATATAACTGAGCAGCTACTACTGAGTGCAAGGGAATGGTGGTTTCTGATCAGAGCTTTTGTAAAAGCACTTAGTCAGTATAATGTCCAACATTATTATGTCATCTTTCATTAGGAATATGCAACACTGCATCCTTCACGTCCAAATATCTGCATTCTTTCTATGACCCTGAAAAATGAGTTCACTGACTCCACTCCTACCATTTAAAGAAGAGACAAAAAAAGAAAAAAGAACAACAAATAACTATGAAGTAATTTCATGCTCAGTGAGATAAAAAGTGCCTCAGTTTTCACAGAAAGGGTTTAACGCTGGGATTTAGGTAAACTCCAGAGTAACAAGATAGCTGTTCCTCCATGTTCTAGCCATATTCAAATACGAAATTTTCAAATACTCATTTCTGAGGCAAGATATTAAGCAAATCTTTAAAATTCATAGTTAATTTAATTATTATCATTTGAACTTTCTTAAGCAACCCATTCCGAATAAAAGCATTTAACAACAGGAAATAGAAAGCATTACTAGGATTTTCAAGATTTAAATCTGACAATTCACGTATTAAAGACAGCCTAGAAGGGAGAGGGCACAGCTCAGGGGTAGAGGGCGTGCTTAGCATGCACAAGGTCCTGGGTTCAATCCCCTCACTAACCAAACAAACAAACAAGCAAACAAATAAATAAATGTAATTACCCCTTCCCTCCTTCAAAAGGAGCCTGAACCTCCAAAGTGTTGCCATTTGGAGGCTGACTACAATGTAAACGAATATTTAAGCAAGATTAGGCAACGTAATTTTGATCTTTGTATGTTCATAAAATCACGGAGACTAATACAATTCAGGAAAATTAGACTTCTAAGGGAAAAGTTTAAAAATCCTAGTAGTAACATGATTTTAATAAAATGCCCTTCTATATAAAAGCTGTGTACGATAAATAATATTTAGACAACACAGCATCCATTTTAAGAACTGGCTAAAATCCTCTAGCCACATAAAGAGTGTCGTTTATCTTGTAAAATCAACTTCAGAGCAGCAAGATAATGCTTAGTTTTACAAGATTCTTGCCTCAGTGATGGGTATTTATAACCAAACAGCAGATCTAGGGCAAGATACCTACACAGTCAAACTAAACAGCAAAGAAATTTGATGGAAACAAAGGGAGAGTTGCACAAATAAGTTTTAAGCTTTGTATCTTGGAAATCAAATGCCTCTGCGGTACTGCAGAAAGAGTCATCACGGAGCTGCCTTCGAACGGGTTCAGCTGTATCCAGCGTTTATACACAGCCGCTCTGCTTTCCCTATCCTCTGCCTTGTTTTCTCACTTTGGGACTTAATTTGAAAAACTGAGCTTCAATGATGCTTGGAAATAAGCATTCTAAGCACCCCCCAAAGAAATAACTCCAACTAAAGAAAGACTTTAAAATATTTTTCAAAATATCTTTGAACTTATAGGGCATAACATTTTTACCTGTTTTCCAGTAATATGAGGTTACAAATAACAGTAATAGTCTTTCTCCAAAACTGTTCTTAGAAAACAACAAAAACTATACATGTACACCTTTTGGGGAAAAAAAGGTGGAGAGTTCTGCCTTCAGCAGACAAACAGAAGGGAAAAATCTGTCTGAATAAACATTTAAAAAATTGCTTCTTTTATGTTATTAAGTAAGTCTGTCCATACTGGTTCAACACAGAGAGGTTAATAACCTTGCACAGTACAACAGTGGTAGCAATTCACTAACTGAATAAATATTCCCAATAGAAGGATCCATTTTCTGTGAGAAATAATAAAACATGTTAAAGTAATTTTCATTACAAAAAAAACAGAATTGCTTGTATGTATCTAAAGTGACAAAAAAGCAAATCAAGTGATGACCAGAAACAGAACTGAGAGATGATACAGTAAGTAAAAGTGGTGATCTTATCTGTTTCCACTTTCTGAACCAGTGACAATGGGGCAAAGGGGAACATCAGTATTCTGGATTCTGCCTGGCTCCCAGTTTTTGGAAATTTTTGGAAATTAGAGAGTATGTTGTCACAGACTACTAACCTTCATTTTTAAA